ATTAAGTGAAAATGGATTAATCTGTTCTCAACCACCAAGCTTTTACCCCAACCCTGCCTTTTTACACAAAACATTACACAGAAATCTCAAAGTAAATAAGTTCAGAGTTAAATAATGTAATTTAAATAGGAAACACAATATTTAAAACGTTTTTAACGACTACAGTATGGCCCATATCTTGAGATTGATGAGGATCTGGATCTGTGGACATGGATGGAGAGAGAAAGTCATTGTTTGGAAGGGGAATTCCCTTCCATAAAATCAATTGGTAGCTGCTTTTCAATTGTTTTTTCCCCTTCTTTGCCTTTTTTCACTAGGACCTGGCTGGCTTTCTCTTAAAAAAAAAAAAAAATCTGTCTAATGTGGTCTGCTGTTGGCTTTTATTTAACTGTTTTCTAAAAGGGTTTACTAAATTATCACCAACAATATCGATAGCACGGTTAACCAGTTCCTTATCATGATGATTCTGTTCAAAAAACTCTATCTCAGGCACCATGTTTTTTATCTAAAAACAGTACCAAAAGCCACAAAAAACTAAGAAAATTATAGCAAAACACTTGGAACCCAGAAAAAGGTTTAAACAATGCTAACTAACAATGTACTAACAATGCCAATTAAAGCCCAGGGACCAAAGCACAAACTGCTTTTGTTTACAAAAATCACATCCAATGTTTTGTGTGAGCTCAGATGTAAACTTTTCTCAGCATTTGACAACAATATCCGATTATGTCGAGTCCTGATGCGGAAGTGTCCTGGGATTCTGCTGTATTTGTAGCTGCTGGTGACGAACTGTGAGGAGCCCTGGTGGCAGAGTGGCTGTGTGTTGGGCTGCTAACTGCAAAACCATCAGCAAGAGAAAGATGGGGCTTTCGCCTCCCACCAAGGTTTGCAGTCTTGAAAACCCACGAGGGCAGTCCAACAATGTCCTAGAGGGTTGCTGCGAGTCAGAATAGACTCGATGACAGAGAGTTTGGTTTGGTCTGGAGTTAGACCCAGCACAGGGAGAATCGTAGCAAGTTCAGGATCCGAGTTGCTCAGTCGTTGGTTTCATCAGAAGCCCTAAGATCCGTCATGGTTATAGAAAGAGAAGAACAGAGAGAGACAGAAGTGGAAAATCAAGTCCTACAGTGAGAGATGAAGGAAGAGCCAGAAATCCAGCCTCCCACAAAGCAGACCTGGCACAAGTTGCCCAAACAAAAGCAAGGGGAACAAGTGCTTTAAGCCAATGCCTACAGGTAGCTTGTACTTCTTCCTTCAATGCCTCAGGTTCTTGGTCAGATAGGACTTCCCGAAATCACTGACTATTGGTAAAGTGATTCTGTGTATTCCTTTCGACTTCTTTGAACTCTTCCTGGGTCTTACAAAAAAAAAAACATGGGGTCATGGAATACTTCAGTGTTGCAACTCAAAACTCAAACATTTTCTTCAGCTCTTTCAGTTTGAGAAATGCCAAATGAGTCCTTCCTGCTGGTTTTAAAACTCCAGGATTTTACACATTTCAGTAAAATACTTCGTCTGCTTGAGCAACCCTTTGAAAACTTCTGTTTCTTTACTTCTTCATTGCTTTTTTGCACTTCAGGTTGTCTACTTTCAAGAGCAGATTTCAGGGTCTCTTTTCCTATCTATTGTGGTCTCTTTCTTTCTTTCCTCCCTGTCTTTTTGGCAATCCTTTGCTTTCTTCTTGTATGATGTCCTTGATGGTGTTCTGTCTTCAGTGAGCCAAATCTACTCTTGAGAGGATCTCTAAATTCAGGATCTCTAAGTTCTGGACTGAGAAAATGGCATGGGAGTAGGGGTGGTGCATGCCTGGCCTTGTCTGGCTACTCACAGACCAGCCCAAAGCCAGGTGCCACAAGGCACAGGACAGACATGCCTCCACTCTCCATCCTTCTCTGCCTACCTACCCTGACACCACAATTCCTCCCACAGCACTCTTTGTGTCTGCTGGCTTTGATTGTGGTGGCCACACAGGACTCCGACAAATCTCACAACCATGGTCAGTTTTGCCCTCCATTACAAAGCTTTCTACTCCCATAAAGATTTACAGCCTCAGAAACCATTAAGGGCAGCTCGGCCCTGTCCTGTAGGAGTTGTTATGAGTCAGGATCAGCTAGATGGCAGTGAGTAAAAGGCTTAAAAATGAGCCATCCCTGTAAGATATGATAAAATAATAATCATTTATAAACTATCAGGGGTCCGGGGGAGGGGGCAAAATGAGGAGCTGACACCAAGGACTTAAGTAGAAAGCAGGTGTTGTGAGAATGATGAAGTCAACATATGTACTAATGTGCTGGACACAAATAATGTATGTACGGATTATGATGAGTTGTATGAGCCCCTAATAATATGATTATTTACAAAAATTATTTTTGTTGCTACTTCAAAAAAAAATGAACCATCTCAGAAATGGGAAATAAAGGCCTAAAGAAAATATAGGAGCAGAGTGCATCCTTGGGACTCAGAGTCCCTGCCCTGGGAACCTCCTGGATCTAGGAGACAGAGAGAGACTTGTAACACCAGAGCCATTGAGAGACAGCAAGAAGCAGTGGCAGCAGGTAAACAACAGAACCAGCAGATGACAGGAGATGGCGTGGTGGGCTTCCTGGCTTACAAAGAGAGAGGCACATTTGGGCAGGAGGATTTCTGGTGGCTGGAGTCAAAGAGCTTTGTAACACTTGAAAAGCAGGGCAGAGGTAGACCTTCTCAAAAGAACCTAAGGGCCATGGGGCCAAGGGCCTGATCAGTCAAAAGCCAGAGAGAAGTGTGCGTGTGGACACAATTGAGAAGGGTCTATCTTTATTGAAGGACTGTGTTCTGAGTAATTGCTGATCCTGAACTGTAACCTGTTCCTTTTCCAATAAATCCCATAATCGTGAGTATTGTTTGTGGGTTCATTGTGGCCACTACAATTCATTATGGAACCAAACAGAGAAGTAGTGTGTAGGGACAGCTAGCATTAGTGTCCAAATGGGAAGAACGTTTGGAGAGAGGAGGTATGTATGAGCCCTGCTTCATAGGAAGCAGCCTTGCACTGATGCTGATGATGCTTTCTCCCCCTCCTGAAGTCTGAGAAGGCATGGTGCCCCTGCCACACCATTTTTACAGACCACCTCACCATCATATTTCATCGCTCAGAATAGTCCCAGTGGTTAACTGTAGGATGAGCTCTTTGTGATTATGAGCCACGTTACTTTTTCAGACATCTCTGTGGGCATGGACCTGCATGTGTACACCAGTGAAGGACAATTTCACAATTACTACAAAAGAAGGTAGGCTCTTTAGTACTCACTCCAAGTCTGATGAGTTCTCCTGGCTCCCAGCAACTTATCTGGACCCTCAAAGGGATTGATAGTCAAGCAAACAGGCCATTTTTAACAGATGGCCTTGACGGGGCTTCTTGAATGTTGAGAAGGAACATGTCTGAGGCTCAATAACACAGTGAGGATTTAGAATCTGTCCTGAGGACTGCGCAGCCCTCGGCTAGGAGCATTTCTTGATTACTCCTTGGTGTCTGTCCTCTTGACACATCTTAGGGACAGTCTGCCTCTGGTGGTTTTGCTGAAATCCTAGAAGGTGACAACTCAAAATTGAGAGGGTGCCAAGCTCAGGGTCAGGGCAGGTGATGTGGGAGCTTGTCCCTTTCTGCATTGGGATTGTGCAACTGGTGGCCAAATGACTTGGTAGATGAAGCAACTGGCTGAGCCTCAAGGACTCGGATTCTGGTGGAGGCCGAGGCAGGGGGAGGATGGTACTGGCAAAAAGAAAGGGTGAGTGGGGTGGGGAGGGGCGCCAGGAGGTAGGCAGGGCCGTGGGAGCAGCCTGGCTTGAGTAGGAGTCCAACCCTGGAGCTGCCGTTCATTACTTCGGTGACCTCGCTAGAGATTTAACCTTGCTGAGCTGCAGTTTTCTCATCTGTTCAATGTGGGCCATAAAACCTCTCATCCGTTCAATGTGGGCCATAGAGTTTGTGCTACCCTCCTGCGGAAGGCTGTTCAAATTCACTCAATGGCAACTCGGGAAAACCGGCCTGGTGACCTACCTCTGCACCATCAAGATCATGGACAAAATCCTAAGGAGCACAGTTCTACTAGGAACCGTGTGAGGTCCCCGGGAGGCAGAGTTGCTCCCCGCAGTGGACGAGTAGACTGTGCTGACATTTGCCAGATGTTCAGAGTAGAGCTTGGTACAGGACTCGCTAACAATAAAGGAGACTGGACTAACCCTATAATCCACTGACATTGGGGACACCTAGAGGTGCCACAAAATAGATCATATTAACTCTTTTATTTCATTTCCATTGCTTGTTGAGCCAGTTCTGACTCATAGCAACACGGTAAGACAGAGTCAAACTGCTGCCTACGGTTTCTGAGTCTGTAAATCTCTACGGGAGCAACGGTTTCATCTGTCAGAGGAAATATGGCGGGATGAAGGGAGGGGGCACCTTAGCTTTGTCACCTTAGTTTTATATAACCTTTTTGAGCCTGGGCTTACTAATCAATAAAAGGACTATGAATCATTACAGCATCATCATTGGAGTCTGATGAATACAATTCATGCGACTAGATTGTACATGTAAAGAATGTGGTCAGGGCAAATATTTCGATACAGATACTTACTACAACTAAAAAAGAAGATTGTTGGAGCATTAAAGGCGGCAGTACACTTCACACACGGGGCATTAGGTAACATCTGGGGTTGTCATTCAGTTGGAGAGAAGAAATACAACGGATCAAAAATAGGCAAAGGATCCATCTAGCTGATGCATACAAACAATGGCAACAAAGAGAAGTTCGTTGGACATGTTTGGCAACAGGAGAGACAGTGATCAGGTGGCAAAAGAACCAATCGTGTTTGCCGTTCCTTGTGCCCCGGGCCAATCGAAGGGCCTCAGCCAGGCAGTGTCCTGGATAAGGCGAGGGTCAGAGGGTGGGGCGGCCCAGAGGCACAAAGCTGAGTCCCCACCAAAAGGAGTGCCCTGACACAGGGCTTAGGACGAGGGGTGCAGCAAGCAGGTCCCCCAAGAAGGGGTCCAGTCCACAAGTTTAATCTTCAGGGCCAGCTTCCGGGGTGCTCCAGCAGGGCTGCACACACAAATGGGCCCTGTACTTGCTCTGATTTTTTTTTTTCCGTCACCATTTTGAAATTCTGAATACCTTTTTGAATCGTGTCCGTTTTGCTACGGGCCCTGCAACTATGCAGCCAGCCCCGCTGTTCATGGCTGCACGTAAGAGGAGCCGGGTGCTGTAGGCGTTCATGGGCCAGAAGAGAGTCCTTTCCAACTGAAGGTGGGCAAGGGATGGGGGGTGGAAGGGGCGCCGTGGATTTGACCCTGGGGATGGGCAGCATTCCGGGCGAGCAACGGGATCGCGGCAGGCTGGGTGGAGGGAATATGTAGGCCAAGTCAAGAGGTGGGAAAGACGGATGGTGTTTAGGGAATGGGAAGAAATCTCTGAAACGTTGAGCCCTATGTTTAGGTACCAGAGTAGGACCGTGCTCTGCTGGCCTTTTGAGGGCCATCTGTGTACTTTTCCACTCGGAGCCGTTCAGGCAAGCCGAGAAGCCAAGTCTAGCCGCAGCACATGCGTGAGGTCCAGGGGCAACTGGGGAGTGGGGCGGCAGCTTGAAAAGTATCAAATGGACATTCCTAATCGCGAAATAGGACTTTTGAAATAAGACTGAAAAAAAGAAAAACCACCAATAAAAAGGTCAACTAATCAATCAGAAGAGAAAATCCAGTCTCGAATTCCCGAGTCTCCGGGTGTGGATTTGCCTAGCAGGCAGGTCGTGGAGCGCGCATTCCCACCAGCATCTAAAACAAACGGTGTGAGCATTATCCCTCAATATTGTACCTACAGTGATACTTAGGATGGCACTGATGAGAAGGAAAAGACACCCTTTCTCCCCAAAGCTCAAAATCTGTCTTCTCCCTTCTCACTGCCTTCCAGCCGGTACTGACTGGTAGCAAGCCTATAAGACGAGAGACCTGCCCCATGAGCAACTTTACAAAAGTAACTATTTACAAAAAGCCCCGTCTTTCTGCCAAGGAGCTGCTGGTGGTTTTGAACTGCTCACCTTGTGGTTTGTAGCCCAAAGCGTAACCACTACACCAGAGCTCCTGTCTACCACCTTATTACCCAAATATTTGAAGGTCAAGTTTTATAATTTTCTATTAACAACGTGGGCCGTGACTAGCAGACCAATATATATGTTGATTTCTTCCCCTTTGCTTTGTATAAATATTAAACTTTTCCACTTGGTCAGCGAACTCTGGTCTTTTTTCCCCCAATATCTTTCCCCATGGCTTCAAAAAGTTTGAGCTCATCTGCTAAGTTACACAGAATGGTGAGAGAGTAGTTGGTAGGTTCAGCTTGGGCCTGGTTCCCAGTTGTCTCCTAACCTGCGTGGCCATGTGCCTGGGCACTGCTGGGACCTGCCTCGAGGAGACCAGGTGTCTGGGCCACAGGAGCCTTGAGGGGAGACAGCCTCCCCTGGGAAGCAGCAGGGTCTGACAGGAAGTAAAGCCTTTCTTCCTGGTCAAAGGGAACAACAAAATCGTGGCTCTCACCCAGATTTGTCTCTTAGCCTAGCCCTTCTTTGAATTCTGTTTCAAGGAAGAGCTTTAAAAAAAACGGGTTGTTGCTGGCCAAACTCAGGAAGTTCAAGCGTTTCTGTCTGGATGCCGCTCAGAAAGGCAAAGAGGCGCCTCTCACATTCTACCTAGAACTGCCTTGCTGACACCCTGTCCTCTGGGGCTTCGGCTGGGCAGGCAAAGGCACTGTGCAGGGTCCAGGGCAAGGATCGGTCATGCCTCTGAGCTGCTGGTGGTGCAGAGCAGCGGTTCCTGGGGCAAGATCGAGCACTGCCTAGGATAGGCAGCGGTGCCCTGCAGAAGAGCCAGATTTTCACCCTTGGCGTTTGAATGCTAGTAGAAAACAATGGTGACTCACTGTACATAGCGAATCTGCAGGATATTTTGAGAACTGAACAGAGAGCATGGAATTTTAACCAAAATGTATGAAGAGCTATGCATTCCTTAAGGTGGAACGTTCCCACCAAGAGAAACCACATGGACATGGGGGTTGTAGGCAAAAGGACTGTTGGCATTATCTCTTGGTGAAAAATCCAAAACTAACAAACAGTTCAAAGTTAGTTTACTGTCTGATGTAACAAAATGCAGGTCCAAAGTCTCTGTATGCCCCCTGTTAATGAGCTCAAAGATAGGTTTATAGAAAAGTTATTAACCAGACAACCCACAGCCTGGGGCTATGGGGTGACCTGGAGTGGGTGGCAGTGGGACTTAGATACCCCCTAATCGCCCTCTCTATCTCTCCTCTCTTCTCTCCTCTCTTCTCCCACTTTCTTTGCCCCTCTCTCATTGTATACACACACACACAGACTTCAAAGAGTTCATGGAAATTTTGAATGAAAAGGTAATGGAATTTTTGCACAAACATTTTAAAGCCCTCTGGTGGTAACGGAGGAGCCCTGATGGCATGGTGATCATTCACTGGGCTGCCCACCATGAGCTCCACTGTTAGGAACTACCAGCTGCTCTGCGGGAGACAGATGAGGCCTTCTACTCTAGTACAGAGTCACAGGGTCAGAAACTCACAGGGGCAGTTCTACTCTGTCCGACAGGGTCACCATGAGTCAGAATTTACCTGATGGCAGTGAGTGAGTGGGTAACCCATTGGTCTGTTGATCCCAAAGTCAGCAGTTCTAAGTCACCAGCCAGTCCTTGGGAGAGAGACTAGGTTTTCTACCACCTAAAAGCTCCAGTCTCAAAAAGGCACAGGAGTACAGTAGTTATAGCCTGTGCTATGGGGTCACTGCGAGTTGGAATTGACTCGATGGCAGTGATGTGTGTGTGTGTGTGACACATAGTGGGTTGCACATTGGGCTGCTAGCCAAACAATCAGCAGGCCAAAACCACTGAGCCTCTCTACAGGAGAAACGTGAAGCGTTCGACTCCCATAGAGATTGACCATCTCGGAAACCACCCGGGGTGGTTCTACTCTATGAGTCAGAACTGATGGGCTGGCAGTGAATTTGGTTTAGTTTTGAAGACAGATACCCCCAGCTGGTGTTGCTGGCCATGGACTTGATTCTGGCTTCTGGGAAGCCTACCTATTGCAAGGTGAAATGGTGCTCCACAGAGAGTTCAAGACCGTTGAAAATGTCAAGAGGCACAGCTTGACGCTGACACACATGGGGTCACCCTGGGTGTGTACCACCAGCAAGTTTTGGACGGGGCAAGGTAGGGATGGGGTGCAGTGGGAAAGAGGGCAGGGGTCACATTCTTCCCCTCCAGCCATGGTACGCAGTGCTGTCTAGTGGAAATGAAGAGAGATTCTAAATCGGCCCGCCTTTGCCTCAGGAGGGTTTGTCGGCGACACCTGCAAGCTCAAGCTCTGAGACAGACGGCAGGAGCAGCTAGCTGGCAGCAGTTGCCTCCAGGAGGCAGCTAAAGCTCTGCACGTTTACAGCAAACACACATTGTACTTTACTATTGAAAAGTGTGAACTCTCTGATATGTGTTTTAGGAAGAGGCCTGCTTCAAGATTCACTGAGTAAATTAGTGAATTGCCCAAAAGATACAAACAGAAATAAAAAGGAAGATAAAAATGC